TAGATAGATAGATAGATAGATAGATAGATAGATAGATAGATAGATAGATAGATAGATAGATAGATAGATAGATAGATAGATAGATAGATAGATAGATAGCAGTTTTTCTTTTCAATGTCTATAAATATAAACAAAACTATAGAAACTAGAAAATGAGGAAAGATAATTTTAGGAAAATGTAGATTCAATTAACTTTATTTTATGAGGAATTTAGAAAACATAAGCAAATAATTGATATTGCATTTTAAAAAAAAACAAAGTCTATACATCATTCAAATTTTAGAAACCAGTGTGATATTTTAAAAATGTACTAACAGCAATGTTTCACCTTAGGACAAAATACCATCAGTGGCTCATCACAATTCGACATACACATGAGGAAAACGCAAGAGTAATCTAAATCTCTGGATCTCCAAGGAATCCAGTAAGCTGGAAGCAGCACCAAAGTCACACCAATGTGGGACTGTCACTCATCCTATCCTATCAAAGAAAACAGACTTAACTCTTGGTGACTGATGTAAATAAATAAATAAACCAAGGTGAAAACAAAAGAGCGCACCATGCCTGGAATTGTGAAGTACATGGTTTATTTGTTCTCCTGTTGTATATGTTTTGCCTGCTTCCTGGTCAGTTAGATATGAGGGCGCTATAAGGTCCAGTCCCAGGTAGAGCTCACTTTTCTTACTATGGATAACTTTATATTGAAGAAATAATGTCTGGTAGTCCCTTGTCACTGTAACATTAAAATTATCATTTTGACAACTAGAGTATGCTTCACTTCATTTTTCAAAAACTAACTGAAGGATATTTAGAGATTTTTTTTCCTCTTAATTTAGGAAATGTATCTAATCTTGGGCTCCCCTCCCCCCAAAAGTTTTCTCATATTACAATATGAAATTCTAATATACCAGGAATCTTGAGAAGAACATTTGATAATACAGGAACAGCCATTCAGGAATCAGATCCTGGGGCTCTAAGATATAATTTGTGATTCCTTGTATATTAAATTGCACCAAGAGGGCTAGGAAGGTGGCTCAGTGGTAGAGCACTTGTCTTGCATACATGAGGCCCTGGGTTCGATTCCTCAGCACCACATAAGCAGAAAAAAAAAGGCCAGAAGTGGCGCTGTGGCTCAAGTGGTAGAGCACTCGCCTTGAGCTGAAGAGCTGAGGGACAGTGCCCAGGCCCAAAGTTCAGGCCCCACAACTGAACCCCCCCCCCAAAAAAAATAAAATAAAAATAAATTGCACCAAGAGACCTTAAAGCCAATCTAAAACTTGGGTAATGGTCTATTTAATTATTATTTTTTGATAGTACTAGAATTTGAACTCAGGACTACTCCTGAGCCACATCTCTAGCCACCTCTCCCCCCAAAAAAATTTTTTTAAATTTTGTTTTCCAGGACAGAATCTTACTTTGTAGCCCAGGTGAGCCTGAATTCATGATCCTCCCACAAAAGCCTTCTCAGGCTGGGATTATAGCCTTGTCGCACTATACTTCACTTTCTAATGTGCATGTGTGCACATGCGGTACAAACCAGTACTAGGGCTTGGGTTCTTATTTGGCTGGCTTGCTCACAGCTGGCATTCTACCACTTGAGCTATGCTTCCAGTCTGGCATTTTACTGATTAATTGTAGATGGAATCTTTCAGATTTTTCTGCCTAGGCTAGCTTCAAACCATCATTCTCCAGATCTCAGCCTCCTGAGTAGCTAGGATTACAGGTAGGAGACACTGGCACACGAATTTTTATTTTCTTTTTGGTGATGCTGGGGCTTCAACAGCTAAGGCATGAAGCTTACTAGTCAAGTGCACTACTACTTAAACCTTGCCCTCAGCCAAAACAAATTAAGGGGAAAAAAATTCACAGCATAAACAATAACTCAGAAGAAAATCAGATTATAAGTAGTAAGGTGTTTGAATACATATCATATGTACAGATACCTAAACAAACACTTCCAGTGGGAAAAGGGAATTGTATTTAATACTTACAGGCTACAGTCACTTTTCTTTCAAAGAAGACGAAAAAATAATTAGTACCTAAGGACAGAGCCAGAGGCTGTAAGGAGAACTTGAAAGCAGTGAAATACTAAAATTCTTTGCAGTGTAGAGGAATGGAGGGGGGAAAAAAAAAAAACCTCCTGCTACAAATCTTTTAATTTTACCCAGATCAAAAGTAGACCAACTATTTGTAAAATTTCTATTACAAAATTTTTATATCCAGCCCATATGTTCCAGTGGATTAAGATTTAAGTTCAAGGTGAAGTGAACAGTATAGAACAAAGAATTTTACCTTTTCTCAGGAGATGATCACAATTTCTTTGAAAGCGGATAATGGAGTAGCCCCTTAGTGACTCAGACTTTATTACCTTCAACACAAAGTCTAAATGTATCCATTTTTAAACCAGTGGAATACTATCCAGATGTTTAAAATATTAGTATTTAAGTTTTACATTAAAGGACATGATTGAACTCTGAAGACAGACTGATTTAAATATAGTATAACTATTTGGGGGTACTTACTGTCAGAAGATTTCTTTAGCAAATACTGGTTTCTTGTATTTAAAAAATCAGCAAGACAGAATTTTAAAAGTCTTAATTTACAATATATTGTAAACTTCAGACAACGGCCACATGAGTGTATCACAGAACAGCATGGGTAAAAAGTATTTACTAGGTGTTCATAAGACTTTGTATCTTCCTTTATTTGTTGGTTGGTATGAATTTTGCTGTGACAGAAAACAAAATATACATGGTCAGAAACCAAGCAAAACAAAGTACTAAGATTATTTCCTTACTAATGGAGTAAAGATAAAGTGTCATTAACATTATAACATCTGAGGTAGTAGGAACTTTTTGGTAGCTAATCACCTCTCTGTTCAGTGCTCCTGACCAACTATGTTTTCAATCAACTTAATGGGGCAGAACCTACAAGCATAAGGGTTTTGTTGTTGTTTTTTCTATGACTCCTAGGTCAAACAATCTTAAAGCTCTTGATTTAAAAGCTACTTTCCTCTTGAGAATCTCTTTTTATTTTTTTTAATAATCTCTTTCCCTGAAAGTAGAATTTTAGAAAATTCTCCGATACACATTTTTAAAAGAGAAAGAAAATTTTCCCTTCAAAGTACCTTCATCCCAATGTGTCTGTTGTAGGAAGAATGTATAAACTTCAACTAGCACAGATGATTTAAGGACATTTGTGCCTGCTTTGGAAAGGCAGTCTGGAAGAACTCCTTCTTCCAAAACCAAATTAACTTGCTGCCTAAATTTAAAAATACTCACAGGGCTGAGGGCATAGCTCCAGTGATAGAGCACTTGCCTCGCATGTGGAGGGCCTGAGCATAATCCTCATTAACACAGATAAACCAACAGGAAAAACAGGAAGAAGCCCATGTGTTAGTAAAGATTGTAATAACTGGAATTTTTATGCACTGCAATGAGTGCAAATTGGTTTAACACTTCTGGAAAATTAAAATAGTTAACCTATACATATTCTATAAGTAGTAATTATACCCCCAGGTATATATCCAAAAACAAAACCAGTGATATGTATCAAAAAGATACAGAATATTAAAAAGCATTATTCAATAAAGCCAAAATCTAGAATAACCCAAAGCCCAATATGTATATTACTTATATTCACAACTATTACACAATCACAAAAATGAATGGGTTATTGCTACCTGCAATAACACAGATTGATCCCTTCAAAATAATGCTGCAATACAAAAGGAGTACACAGCATGTAATTCCATTTATATGGAGTTCAAAGACAGGCAAAACTAATTTATGATTTTGAAAGTCACAATATAGTTGCATTTGACAGATCAACAGTGACAAGGAAAAGGGTAGTGATGTTCTCTATTTTCCTGATTTGTGTAGTGATTACATGGATGTGTCTACTTAATGATCTATACACTTGTCTGCATTAATTAGAGTTCAAAAAAAAAAAAAAAAAAGAGTCCTTGAGGTTTGTACTCACCAGTCGGATCAGTTCTTCTTTTATGAGCCTGGTGATTTCTGCCTTTGCTTTCTGCACAGCCAGTTCATTGGCACCTGGTGATTGAGTAGAAAATATTCAATTACTAGAATTACACTGCATGTTTATCCACGTCATGGAGGTCCAGGAGGAAACACTGTAGGTAACTTTTAGAAAACCACTGACTGCCAAAAACAACTGTTCACTCCCTGAGAACATTGACCATATTAACAAAGGGCTGCTTATTATTCCGATTGCTTTTTGAGTTTCAAATGTAACCACTGTAGACTGTGTGACATTAGTCTTAACAGTTCTGGTGATGTCAGGCCAGAGGTGAAATAGTACCTGCTTAGCAAGTACAAGGCCCTAAGTTCAAACCCTAGGAGCACATATGCACATAAACAAATGGTTCTGGTATGTTGATTAAAAAGAGCAAAGAAAGATTAACAATCCAGAAGAGAGTAGGAAAGGGCTAAATGGAGATACAACTTGATTTACTTTACAAATATTTATTATTTATTGAATTTTCTGAGGTCTGAAAGTGTGTGAAAAAGACACCATGTGAATATCTTAAAGATGAATGAAGGATAGGAATGTGCCTTAGTGGTATAGTGCTTACCTAACCTGCATGAAGCCCTGGGTTCCATTCCTCAGTAACACATAAACAAAGGCCAGAGGTAGCATTGTGCTCAAGTGGTAGAGTGCTAGTCTTGAGCAAAAGCAGCTCAGGGACAGTGCCCAGGCCCTGAGTTCAAGCCCCAGGACTGGCAAAAAAAAAAGAATGAAGATTGTCCAAGTTTTGGAGGGAGGCTGACAGGGAGAGGATGTCACAACAAGAAACCATATGTGCAAGGGCACGAGATTAATAAAAGAATGCTTCACGCGGGCCTTCCGTGGCTCACGCCTGTCATCCTAGCTACTCAGGAGGCTGAGATCTGAGGATCTCGGTTTAAAGCCAGTCTGGGCAGGAAAGTCCATGAGACTTTTATCGCCAGTAAACCAATAGAAAAAACTGAAGTGGTACTGTGGCTCAAGCAGTAGAGCACTCACCTTGAGCTGAAGAGCACAGGGACAGAGCCCAAGCCCAGAGTTCAAGCCCACGACCGACAAAAACAAACAACAACAACAACAACAAAAGAATGCTTCCCTAGGTGTAGTGGTTCACACCTGCAATCCTAGCCCATAACAAACAGAGGCAGGAGGATACCAAGTTTAAGGCCAACCTGGACTACATGGGGAGACTGTCTCAAAAAAACAACCACCAAAAGGAAAACATACTTATTTACTGAAGAGTAGGAGAAATGTAGCATGGCTAGGGAAAAAAAGAGAGAGGGCAGCAAAGTCCATGAGACTCTTATCTCCAATAAACCACTAAGAACAACTGAAGTGGCACTGTGGCTCAAGTAGTAGAGCATTGGCCTTGAGTTGAAGAGCTCAAGCCCTGGCCTCGAGTTCAAACCCCATGACAGGGGAAGGTGGGAGGTAGGGGGGGGATTGCATAGACCAGCCAGGCTCGGGTGGTTCATGCTGGTAATCCTTGCTACTCAAAAGGCTGAGATCTGAGGATCGCAGTTTGAAGCCAGTCCCAGCAGCAAAGTCCACAAGATTCTGATCTCCAATAAACTACTCAGAAGAAGCCAGAAGTGGCACTGTGGGTCAAGTGGTAGAGTGCTAGCCTTGAGCACAAAGAGGCCCTGAGTTCAGGCCCAAGGACAAGGGGGGGAAAAAAAGATGCACAGACCACTAGAAAAGAAAACTTGTAAAACCATTACAACAATAAGAGAAGAGGTCTCCTAGGTATGTAGCTAGTTAGCTGTGTCTTGTTTATCTACCATCTCTCTAGCTATCTCTTCTGTATCTATTTCTGTCTATGTATATATTATCTATGTAGCTTTATCTGTGGTTCAAGGGATCAAACCCAGACAGAGTCTCACATGCTAAACAAGCATTCTACTATTAAGCAACACCAGAGCAGTAAAAACCTTTCAGAAATCACATTTAAGATGCTTTCCATGACATCTCCATGTCCAGTATTTTTCCCCTTGGTGTACTCACAGTACTGTGTTCATGGCACCATGAAAACGTACTTCTGGAGCCAAATGGCTGTTTTTGCTGATGGGAAATGTGAACCAAAAATTTAAGAGAGATGAGGATTTGAGAACAAAGACAGGTAGAGTGAGATATGAGATGGAGGACAAGAGGCAGAGTGTGAGCAGGTAATGCAATGGGAGGCACACCTGTAAGAGGAAAGGAGCTGGACCAAAGTAGACAAGAGACTGAAATGTCAAAAAGGAAGCTGGGTTGTACCTGTAGAGAGTACAACTGAATCAGTATATACATACAAGTATAAAATAACGAGGAAAAGAATTGGCAAGGAATGAGGGAAATTTTTCCCCTTACTAGAAGTGACTAACCTTTTCAATGAGGGGAAAAGGGAAAGATTGACTGCTTACCCAATTGATTGACAGACTGAATGACTAACAAATGGGAAGAGAGAAGGAAGATGGGCAGGCAGAAACAGCTTAGCAGAAGGAAAAGACCAAGGGCATGGATATGAAATCATAGCAATATATTTAAACTCTAAACTCCCACCAACTACAACCAGAAAAATTTTAAGGTGTGTAGGGAAGTTGAGTGTTAGAAGAAAAGTGGATAAAAGAAACAGGGCAGATCCAAGAGCCTCTTCAGTCTGGAAATTACAAACGAGTAAACACAACTGAAAATGAAAATTGGTAGGAAAATATGCTACTGGACAAGAGCTGGTGTGAAACGGCCAGGTTTATAACCACAATCCTAGTGGCCTGGGAGATGGAAATTGAGGAATTGTGACTCAAGGGTAACCTGGGCACACAACTGATACAAGTTCACTCGTGGCTGGTGGTCTGGTGCCATACCTGTTATCTCAGCTAGAGGGGAAGCAGAATGGCTGGGCTCAGTGGCTAGCTACTGTCACAACCAGTGACCAGAAGCCCAAGTAGGAAGATAAAAGCTTCAGGTCTTTTATCTGACCTGGGCATAAAGCAACACCCTACCTAGAAAACAACCAAGGCAAAAGGAAGCTGGAGGCACTGCTCAAGTGGGAGAGAGCCCACCTGGAAAGTGTGAGACCCTGAGATCTGATTCCCAGTATCACACAAAGAAAAAAAAATGTTAAGCTTGTTGATATTTTGTACTATTTTAAAATGAAGAAAAATCACACTCTCCCATAAGCCTTCTTTAGCTAGAGCTTGACCGTTTGAACCAGCTTAACTTTTTGACTAATGTAGTTCACGTAATGGGTTACACATGTTTCTAGGTAGTCATGAAAAGGGGGGCATTTCCCTTCATTGGTCCTAAAATAACTCTGGCTGCTTTCGGATTCTCCACTAGTAAAAAGAGAGGGTCACCGAACAAGCTATATAAATTATACAGGCTGCCTGAGGCACCTAAGTCCTCCTTCCTGTTCTCCTCCCCTCTGCCTGGTGGGAGGCCTGGGGTGCTGAGCCACACAGATCCTTCCAGGAGCCAGGTTGGGGTCCCTTCAATTACAGAACTAGAAACAGATGACACGGGGCTCCTTCCACACTAGCAGGACCGGCTTTCATCCTGTTAAGTATTCAGCTGAACCGGATGGAGTTCTAAAAACTGAACAAGGCCTTTCAGAATCTCATCTCCCAAAATTCTACAGGCTCTCTCTCATTTTAATTTATCAACTCTGACTCTTACAACTGGTATGTCTTCAGAATACTTCTCCTTAAGGCTTGTTTTCAACAAATGAACCTTTTTATGGAAGGGGGGGGGGGTCTTGCTTAGATTACTATAAAAGTTACATGCTGTTCCCTAAGTACAACTGACAGTAGAGGAAAGTGACTGGCACCACACTCTGCGGAAGGAAACTAGACCACAAGTGCCTTACTGCACGCCACCCGGTGACACAGATGTGGTCTCAGAGTTGTATATAAACTTTATATGAATTTTTACATAGGAATAAGTACTATCCCGGACAAGCATTAAATACCAAAAAGATCTTTTTTCAAAGGAAAAGAATTGTCTCTGATTTACCTCTTAACAAGTAGACGCTTAAAATACGGATTTTGCTTAAAATACCTAGGATAGTCAAGCAGAGAATTAAAGTCTGGCTCTATGTGTACCCACAGTTTTATCACCAGATTCCTTTGCACATCCTGTATCCTCATTCTATGTCTAAAGAACACAGCAGCAAGGAATTATCCAGTTCAAGTGCAGAAAAGATGTTGATTTTCTCTAAAGATTCAGGTGCCAGCCACCCTTATTTAACTATATAGTAAGGAAGTATCACAGGATCTAGAAACAGAGGGCTGGGGATGTAGCTCAGTGGAAGAGCGCAAGCTTAGTATGCAAGACCCTCTGGGTTTGATTCCCTGACCGGCCTCACCAAAATAGAAAACAAAACAAAAATAAACAGCAAGCCAGGCTTACGCCTATAATTCTAGCTACTCAGGAATATAGTTCAAAGCCAACCCAGGCAGGAAAGTCCATGAGACTCCTATCTCCAATAAACTACTCAGGAAAAGCTGGAAGTGGTACTATGGTTCAAGTGGTATAGAGCTAGCCTTGAATACAAAGAGGCTCAATACAAAGGCCCTGAGTTCAAGCCCCAGAACTGGTAAATAAGTAAATAAATAAATAATAAACAGAAAAACATACTGAGCTATTAACAGACCAAAATTCATTTAGGATACAAAAGGATCGTATCTTAAAACCTGACTTTAGGCTAAGTTCCAGTAGCTCCCACTATAATCCTAGCTACTCAGAAGGCTGACATGTGAGGATCGTGGTTTGAAGCCAGCCAGAGCAGGAGCAGGAAAGCCCATGAGACGCATCTCCAATTAGCCAACAAAAGCCAGAAGTAGGGCTGTGGCTCAAGTGGTAGAGTACTAGCCCTGAGCACAAAAACTTTAGGGACAGGGCCCAGGCTGAGTTTAAGCCCCAGGACTGGCAAAAAAACAAAACAAAAACCCTGACTTGAAATAGATGTCAGTTTCTCAGAGTCACAAATTTAAATAGCAACAACAAAAAAAGCAATTTGCTCAGTTCTGGATGCAGATCCTTGGAACATACTTAGAAATATTTATAGGGGGGGAGGGGGTCGGGGAAGGTGGCTCAGTGGTAGAGTGCTTGCCTTGGCCTAGCATGCATGAGGCCCTGGATTTGATTCCTCAGCACCACATAAGCAGAAAAGGCCAGAAGTGGCGCTGCGGCTAAAGTGGTATAGCGCTAGCCTTGACCTAAAGAACTGAGGGACAGTGCCCAGGCCCAGAGTTCAAGCCTCATGACGGGGGGGGGAGGAAAAAAAAATATATATATATAAAACAGGATTAGAATATGACTCACTGGTATAGTGTCTTCCTATAAAGGATGAGGCCCTGCATTCAATCCTCAGTACTGACAAAAATAAATTCAGCAACAGTAATAGCAAAACAAATCCCCTGACACAATCCACCTGATTCAAAACCTGTATGGTGATTAAAAAATGTCAGAAGCCTGTAATCCTAGCTACTCAGGAGGCTGAGATCTGAGGATCACAGTTCAAAGCCAGCCTGGGCAGGAAAGTCTGTGAGACTTATCTCCAGTAAACCACCAGAACACCAGAAGTGGCACTATGGTTCAAATGGTAGAGCACTAGCCTTGAGCTGAACAGCTGAGGGACAGTACCCAGAGTTCAAGCCCCACAACCGACAAAAAAAAAAAAAAAGATGTCAGAGCAGGGAACTCTAAAACTTTCTCTCTCTACAAAACAGGGTGTAAGTGTATAATACCTGTCAAAAATAAACTTTTACTGAGGTAATAACCACAAATTTTGAGGCAACCAGGCAAACGCTCAAGGAAAACAACAACAAAAACCACAACCAGCTAAACCTCAGTAACAGAGCTTTCCAGTGTTTTATCCTGATTCCTCCTCCTCACCAACTTCACTCATGCCCTGCCCACAGCATTAAGACAACTGCCTATACTCTAAGTACTAAAAATAACATGTATTTAGGTCTAAGAACTATGTCAAAATAAAATGATAAGAGAGGCCAGGCTCTGTTGGCTCACATCTGTAATCCTAGCTATTCAGGAGATCTGAAGGTCCTGGTTTGAAGACAGTCCAGGCAGACAGAACAGTGAGATGTTTATCTCTGAATAACCAAAAAATGCCCGAAGTAGAGGTAGTCAAGAAGTAGAGCACTAGATGAGAGCAAAAAAGCCAAGTAAGAGAGGGAAGCCCTTGAGTTCAAGCCCCAGTATCAGAACCAAAAAAAAAGACAGAAATTACATTATCTATATCCTTGAGGTTATATCCACTTATTATTTTGTCAAAGATATGGGTGAACTTCACTGAGCACAATTTCAGTGGCCAGATCTGCTTACACATTCATTAAATGGGCTACAAGAGTTAATTTAGTTTCTAAATTAAACTTTGGCCAGACTATTTCACTTAGTAGAAGCACAGTTGGATTGGACCTTAAAATTCATACTTTCAGAGTGATTTTCAAATGTAAGTCCCACAAGTACGTCACACCACTTTGTATATTTACTATGTTTTTCTCATAGTGTTGCTTATTTTGGTCCTTCCTAGAAGCCTCCACACTCACTCGGTACCTATTACATCCACATCAACTCTGAGCCGACTCCAGCCTGAAACAGAACAAGACTGCGTACTTTCAATTGCCAGGTAAATTTTCCGCTCTCCTTCCTTGGGCTCCTTGCCAGGAGGGAAGTATGTGCCTCGGATTGTGATTGCAGCTTCAGAATATTCACTGATTCTCTGTAGAGCTTCCTTGGAGGTAACTTTCCACCGAGCCGTCTAAAAAAAAGAGTTGAAGGGGGAGGGGGGGAAATTACTTCATTAAAATAAACAAGCATGCTGCAAGAGAAAATAGACTGACTTACTGTATTAGGTCGATGTTAAGAACATAATATATCTGCAGTTCATCTAGATCTTAATAATCTAGAAAATATTCATAAATACTGAATTTCTACTGTTAACTCTCCTATAAAGGTAAAAAAATGAAGCAGCTAGCCAGAAGCCAGTGTCTCATGCCTGCATCCTAGCTACTCAGGAGACTGAGATCAAAGGATCACAGTTCAAAGTCAGCTTGGGCAGGAAAGTCCATGAGATTTTTTTTTTTTGGTAGGTCCTGGGGCTTGAACTCTGGGCCTGGGCGCTTGTCCCTCAGCTCTTCAGCTGAAGGCAAGTGCTCTACCACTTGAGCCACAATGCCACTTCCGGTTTAGTGAATGGTTTATTGGAGGTAAGAGTCTCAGGACTTAACTGCGCGGGCTGGCTTTGAACCTCGATCCTCAGATCTCAGGGTCCTGAGAGCTAGGATGACAGGTGTGAGCCACTGGCGCCTGGCTTTCCATGTGATCCTTAACTCCAACTAACCAGCAAAAAGCCAAAAGTGGAGCTGAAGTAGAGCAATAACTTTGAGCAAAAAAAACAAAACAAAACACCCCAGGGACAAGGCCAAGTTCAATGCACAAGAAAGGCACCCATACACACAAAAGCAGAAGCTAAGGCACATTAGATGAGGGGTGTGGCTCAAGTGAAAGAGATTTTGGTAAGCAAGAAGTCCTAAATTGAACCCACACTACTGCCAAAAAAAATAAATAAATAAAATTAAAATAACATGTTTATGTGTTTAGAGGGATGAACATGTAGCTCAGTGGTAAAGTCTAGACTCCCATCAAACCCTGGGTTTGATCCTCAGCAATGCAAAAGTAAATAAATAAGCACAATTAACTGTTCTTACATTTTTAAAGAAAGGATTTTTGTTCCTAAGAAAACAACAATTTTTTAGTTGGGCGCTGGCGGCTTACATCTATAACGCTAACTGCTAAGATTAACATCTGAGGGTAGTGGTTCAAAGCCAGCCATGGCAGGCAAGTCCATGAAAACTTTATCTCCTTAAAATTAACCACCAAAAAGCCACAAGTGGAGCTGAGGCTCAAGCATGCTAACCCTGAGCAAAAGAGCTCAAGAGCATCACTCAGACCCAATTCACCCCCCAGGACCAACACAGAAACAAAAACAAAAACAAAAGAAGTTTCTACTAAATATAAAAATGGTTAAATCTTCCCGGCACCAGTGGCTCCAATCTGTCATCCTAGTTACTCAGGAGGCTGAGATCTGAGGATCACGGTTCAAAGTCAGCCAAGGCAGAAAAGTACATAGGACTCTTATCTCCAATTAATAATCAGAAAACCAGAAGTGGCTCTGTGGCTCAAAGTGGCTGAGCACTAGCTTTAAGTAAAAGAGCTCAGGGACAGCATCCGAGCTCTGAGGTCAAGCCCCATGATCTACCAAAAAATTTTAAAAAGGGTTAAATCTGTTACTTGCCTGTGGGAAGTCATTGATCTCTAATTCTTCCTCATATCTCTTGAAAGATTCATTCTGTCCTCCATCCTGCCGTTCTTCTTCTTGTTTCTCTAAAGGCACATAATTGAGCTTGGCATTGATCTTCTCGGCAAGTTGCTCTGCAATGGTTTTGGCGGACACAGTAGGAGCCAGGATGGTGCCACCTCTCAGGATCGCATTGGTGGCCTGCTGCATCACATCCTGTAGTTAAAAGACTAACAGTCAAATCTCAAAGCAGAGCAGAGGCAGGGCCATGGACCTACCCACAGATTATTCATGCCTTCTATTTTACTTCATTCTGCTTAAATTCAGCAATATATGCTTGTAGTTAATAGTCCAATGGATCTCCTTTATTCTTAATGAGAAAACTAAAGAACATTCTACTAGCCTACTGAAAATATCAGAGCACAGATACACAGTTGAAAATTACCCACCTCGTGGTAGCATATACAATGCAGTACTTCTAAAGCCATGTATATCTTTTATGACTCCCAGATGTTTTCCTATGAATTGGAATCTCGTACCACTGACTTCACTGCCCCACCCAATAGTCAATAAAATACAGTAAATGACTTACTCAAAATCTCCAAATTACTGTTGAAATTACTAAGCCATTCTTTAAGGATGCTATGAAAATTCACTTAGTTAAAAGTTAATACAAAAGCTTTCACAAAACAGATATACCATGTGAAAGTTAAAAGAACATAATAATGCTCCAATGATTAAACATAGTGAGTCAGAAAGAACCAAATGTTCATGCATCTAGGAAACTGGTTCTGTGCCCAATAACACACCAGTGAGAGCAGATAAAGAAAACCAAAAAGAGGGGCTGGGAAGGTGGCTCAGTGGTAGAGTGCTTGCCTATTGCATGCATGAGGCCCTGGGTTTGATTCCTCAGCACCACATAAGCAGAAAAAGCTGGAAGTGGCACTGTGGCTCAAGTGGTAGAGTGCTAGCCTTGAGCTGAATTGCTCAGGGACAATACCTAGGCCCACAAACAAGCAAAAAAAAAAAGAAAAGAAAACGAAAAAGAATTTCTTCTTCAGATTTTGGTAAAACAAATCAAACGACCGTACGGGCTAAATTTTCTATTATTCATAAGTTAGGAACAGAAGTATTTCAGATTTTACTCTGCTGAATTCTAGAATACTTGCATAGGGCTTTAATGACTGGATATCTGTAATCAGAATATCCCAAATACAAAATACTATAAAACATCAAACACCAATCAAAGCATTTCAGACTACACAGTATTTTAGATTTTCATATTAGGTATGCTCAACTGCTCTATAAAAACTATCTCTGGCTAAACTGCCTACAAAGCATTCCAGAAGAGGCACACAGCCCTCATACTAGTGCAAGAATCAAAGAAGCCCTGCTAAGCATGCTAACATCTTACAGACTCAACTTATAGGAAAACTTGCTGAGTTAGGCACGATAAAATTCCTGGAAAATATCTAAATTAAAAGTAATGACTGAGACGTGGAACAAATTACTTAATACCTGAGACTCGATGCCCAAATTCTTCTGAGCATTGATTCTAAGAGCCAGTCTCTTAGCGATTTCCAATTTCTCAGCATTTCCTGCAGTTGGAGCAGGAACACTGGATGTTCCAGGAGCAGCCATATCTTTCACTCTCTTCTTTGAATTAAACATGCTTTCAATTTGTTCATCAATCTAGAAAAATCAAGGAGTAGTGAAACTGAAGTGTAATTATTAGCTTACTTATTGTCTACAAAAACAAGAAATTATTCCACCAAAAGACTAGAATCAGCAGAGAGTTAAAGGTATGTAAGTTAAAACTGTATGGGTGGCTTACACCTGTAATTCTAGCTATTTAGGAGGCAAAGATCTGAGGATCACATTTAAAAGCCAGCCCAAGCAGCAAAGTCCATGAGATTCATATCTCAAATTAACCACCAGAAAACTGGAAGTGGCACTGTAGCTTAAAATGGAAAAAAATCACTGAGTCCAAGTCCAATGACCAAACCAAAAAAAAAAATTCTGATCTCCAATCAATGACCAAATGCTGTGGCTCAAGTGGTAGAACAGCCTTTAGCTAAAAAGCTCAGGGACAGCACTCAGGCCCTAACTTCAAGATCAGGAGCAGCCTAAGATAGACAAGCAAATAAAATAAAGCTCCTGGATAAGGAATCTGAGTAATAGTCTGATAACAATACATTGAAAAATATCAGTATGACCCTTCAACTTTAAAACAACTACACGTGGGCTGGGAAGCTGGCTCAGTGGCAGTGTTTGCCTTGAACGCATGAGGTCCTGGGTTCGATTTCTCAGCACCACAGAAGCAGAAAAAAGCCAGAAGTGGCACTGTGGCTCAAGTGGTAGGGCGCTCGCCTTGAGCTAAAGAACTGAGGGACAGCGCCTAGGCCCAGAATTCAGCCCCCACAACAAAGAAAGAAAGAAAGAAAGAAAGAAAGAAAGAAAGAAAGAAAGAAAGAAAGAAAGAAAGAAAGAAAGAAAGAAAGAAAGACAGAAAGAAAGAAAGATTATGCAGCCATACAGTTAGTGTGAATTTATTAAATGGAAAGACTTTTCACACACTGTTGTAAAAAGGTTATAAACTGGTACACACACACACAAAAATGAACCTATATGTGCATCCACAAATAGAAAAATGCTTGAAGCAGTATACAACAAGGTTTCCCAGAACTAGCTCAACAAGCCTACAGCTAAGACCTGCAGTAGAGAAGAAAGAATCAAGGAAAATTGTAGCTATACTTACATCAACCGCAGCATCCTCATCATCTGAATCCTGCAGACCAAGAGCTGCCTTCTGCAACTTCTTCCTCTCATTCGCCAAAGCTTGTTCTGTTTCATCAAACTTGAATCCCTTACCAGAGAACCCACTACTCTTTTTAATTATTTTTCCTTCCTTTCAAAGAAAAATTTTTTTAAAAATTAATTTCATAGTAAAAACATAGTAAGTATTTTTAAGGGGGCGTATGCCAATGTAACAAAAAGTATTTCCCCTTGCATGCAATAAAAAATACAAGAGCTCTATATAACTTCACAAAATACTAAGTTCAAGCATAAGAGAACATCCTGTTTTCACTTATTTCCCTCTCTAGTTCTATCAAGATGCCCAAGAATAAAGAATGACATTAGTAACTTGAATGAAAGTAACAGGCATTTAAAAACTTACAGCTTTCTGTTGATCTTTGAAATCACTCCAAAGTTTCTCTAGATCAGGAGGCACTGCAGTCCCAGATAGTTCAAGAGCTTTAATTATGTCACCAGCATAGCGAGCTTGGTCTTCTGTGATAAAAGTATATGCATAGCCCTAATGAATAACAAAAATGTGGAATTATTAGACACCAAGATAAATTCAACTTACAATCACATATAGCATAAAATATAAGCCAGGGAATAAAGCTCTACAACGGATGCCATTGCTAAAGAATTATTCTTCAATAATTATTATTTTAATAATAATTTTAAATAATTTTTCAAAGAAAAATATTTAATATTTAAAATGAGGGGGTTAGAGTTGTAGTTCAGTGACAGAGCACTTGCCTAGTATGTGCCAAGATCCTGGATTCATTCCCCAGCCCTGCAAAATACTGCATACATGCATGTATGCAAGCATGCATGCATACATACATATATACAATTTTAGAAAATAAGAAAATTTCTGTATATATAAGTAGATACACATGAGATTTTACAGAACTTGCATTGTCATGTGCATTAACTGTCTTTGTAACTGTCTTTGTATCTGTGGGATGCTGGGTTTGTGCTCAGGGCCTCAACACTTGCTAAGTAGGCACTCTACCACTTAAGCCCCCACTCATTCTTTTGGTTTTTTTTGGTCCAGTCGTGGGGCCTGAACTCTGGGCCTGGGCGCTGTCCCTCAGCTCTTCAGCTCAAGGATAGCGCTCTAGGACCTGAGCCACAGCGCCACTTCCGGCTTTTTTTCTTTTTGCTTATGCGATGCTGAGGAATCGAACCCAGGGCCTCATGCATGCAAGGCAAGCGCTCTATCACTGAGCCACCTTCCCAGCCCCCCCATTCATTCTTTACTTTGAAGTATTTTTCCAATATAGTCTGTGTTTTCCTCTGGGTCAACCTGCGGTAGTGATCCTCCTACACAGGTTGGGACCATAGGTTCCCACCAGCATGCCCAGCTCATTCATTCATTCATTCATTTATTCATTCATATAGTACTGGGATGGGGCCTACCACTTGCTAAGACAGTTCTTTACTTGAGCCACACCTCCAGTCTACTGGTCTATTGACTGAAATGAGGGTTTCATTAACTTTTTTGCCAGGGACAGAGTAGAAATGAAATCCTCCCAATCTCCACCTTGTGCAAAGCTAGGAATAACAAGTGTGAGCCACTGTGAGTAGCTTGTATTGGTTTCCTCTTTCTTTTTTTAGCTTGCATCCCACATTAACATTCATTTCTTAGCATGTAGCTTTCCTTATTTTTTAAGATTAAAAAATGTATGCATGCACATGTATTTAATTATACACATAAGTAAGCTGTCTATGTTTGTAACTACTTTGCAAGAGTGAGCTTCACTTCATCAACTTCCTGGGATTGCTCTAGATGTCAGGCTTTCACATGCCCCAGTAACCTTGGGCACACTCAAGACAAAGATTGCAGTGGAAGTCAAATGGCAAAAAAACACACTCAGATCTCTGTCTTGACAAAACCTCTGGTGTTGCCTCTGCTGGGTGCCAGTGTCTCACGCTTATAATCCAACAACTCAGGAAGCTGAGAACTGAAGATCATGGTTCAAAGCCAGCCCAGGAACAAAATCCGTGAGATTCTTATCTCCAGTGAACCACCAGAAAACCAGAAGAGGCGCTGTGGCTCAAGTGGTAGAGCACGAGCATTGAATTGAAAAGCGAGGGACAGCACCCAGGTCTAGAGTTCAAGCCCCACAACTGACCAAAAAAAAAGATGTTTCTATATTGTTATAAAAGGAAGGAATTATTTTAAAATTTTCTTTACTTTGTTGCCTGCTCTCCCAGTCCGTCCTGCTCTGTGCACGTAATCCTCATAATGGTTGGGGCAACTGTAATTGACCACAAGAATGAGATGTTTCACATCCAGACCTCGGGCAGCAACAGAGGTGGCTACGAGAAGCTTGCAGGTTCCATTCTTAAAGTCATTTATTATGCTATCTCTGTCATACTGATCGATCCCTGTGAGTAAATTAGAGACATGGCTGTTAGGATCTTTCATTTCTTCTGACAGAAAAAAACAAAAACAAAAACAAATTTAAACATGGAATAAAAAACAATCCACATTTTCAAGTTCTACAATCTAGCAAAATAAAAGGCTAAAATTGCTGAAGCTCCAATTTCAGAATCACCAATTCAAACTTGATTCAAGAAAAAAAGGGGGAGAAGGGAAAGGCAAGAATGTTCAGCTTACATTAAATAGACTCAGCTCCTTCTTTCTTTTGTGGGTTACTTAGAGCACTGCTACTCACTTAGAAATGCAAAATATTAACGCTGAGGGACAGCACCCAGGCCCAGAGTTCAGGCCCCATGACCGGACCCAAAAATTAAAAAAAAATTAAAAAAAAAGAAATGCAAAATATTAGTCTCTCCCTAGACTACTGAATCAAAATCTACATTTGTAAGTCCCTTAGATGATTAATTACCACATACACAAAAAGGAGCACTAGTTTAAAAATACCTAATTGGTACCTAATTGGATCTCTCTTGAAATATGTAACCCAAGAGTCTCAGGATAAGTAACTAGGCAGCACATGTATAACATATCAAAATGTTCGATCACAAAAGCCCAGGTACCTCTGTTTACAGTAGAGAATGAAATAGGATAAATTCACAAACCTAAAAACTCATGTTTATAACAGATTTAACATACATGCAGAAGAATCATTAGCACCTTTCTTTCTTGTGGTGTTGGAGATCAGACCCAGGGCCTGTACATACTGGACAAGCCCAGCCTGCACATTTAAATATTTATCAATATTCATTTGTTTCACCATCTCAAATTTTAGTTTGTTGTTTTTTTGTGTTTTTTTTTTTTT